CATTGTCTACTGCCAATATAATTATCTGTCTTCATAAATATTATCCCTGTTTTTTTAATGACTTGTATTTTTCTGGTACAGGTTTGTTGTGAATGGTTGTTTAATTTTGTCTAGGTGAGCAGTCATAAAAATTCTCCTAATTTCAACATTTAGTTATATTTGAATCCATATTTTTGTGTGGGAGGAAACGTTTGGATTGAAAGATAATTTGAAAACTGTCATAACTCTATCTTTTTTAGGTATGATTGTTTATTTTTACTTGTCAAAAACACATAACAAAATTTATAATCAAGTATTTTTAAATATTCAATTTAGTCATCTTAATTATATTGACAGTGTTATGCAACATATCCCTAGAATGTTTTTATCTTGCACAACTAAAGCTCAATACATATTAAACAACTACCAGTTTTTCCCATTTTTGTCACACTTCACAAACACCACTCTGTTTTCTGATTCTAAGAGTGTAACTGCTTTATATATATCATACAATCTCCATCTTTTTGTGGCTGGCCCATTTCATTTTGCATAATGTCTTCTAACTTTGTCTTTATAGTTGTTAAAATATTTCCTGCTTTTTCAATCCTGGGTGATATTCCAATATTTCTGTATTTCAAATTATATCTACTGAGTGGTTTGGTGACAGAAATTTGCATTGTTTTTACTTATGTGCTTTCAGTGACAATTCTACAATAATTATTGGTATGCCAATGATCATATATGTGTAAGTTTATATATGTACTGCATTCTACTTTATTAGTCAACCTTTTTTTACCTTTATGCTCCTACCAAATTGTTTCAATTCTGTAGCTTTGTAATGTGTTTTGAATTCAAGAACTGTAATGCCTTTAACATTGCTTTTTTTTTTTCTTTTTTTTTGGGAGGGGGAAGATTCTTGGGTACTTTATTGTCTCTTGAGATTTTATATACTTTTGTGGTTCCTGTTTCTATTTCTTCAAAAATGCGATGAGAAATTTTAAAAAACATTGCATTAAATTAGTAGATTACTTTGAGCAGTATGGATATCTTCACAATATTAATTATTTCAACCCTTGAACAAGAGCATACTCAAGAGTGTGTTGTTTAATGTCTATGTATTTGTAAAAGTTTTCAGTTTCTTTTTTTTAGACACAGTCTCACTCTGTCACCCAGGCTGGAGTGCAGTGGTGTGATCTTGGCTCACTGCATCCTCCACCTCCCAGGTTCAAGTGATTCTCCTGCCTCAGCCTCCCGAGTAGCTGGGACTACAGGCGCCCACCACCATGCCCAGCTATTTTTTTTTTTTTTTTTTTGTATTTTTAGTAGAGACGGGGTTTCACCGTGTTAGCCAGGATGGTCTCAATCTTCTGACCTCGTGATCCTCCCGCCTTGGCCTCCCTTATAGTCGTGAGCTACTGCGCCCAGCCAGTTTTTCAGTTTTTTTCTATTATTGTTTTATATTCTCATTTCATTTTTGTCATAGAAAGCAATCCATAAAAATTCAGTTTTATAAAATTTGTTAAGACTTCTTATTTGGCCTACCAGGTGGTCTGTCAAGGAGAATGTTCTATAAGCTATTGAAAAGTGTGTACATCCTAATGTTCTTGAGAAGTGTTCTCTATATTTCTGTTAAATATATCTGTTTTTTACTACCTTTGAGTCCTCTTTTCCCTTATATTCTGTCTTTATTTTTATTACAGAAAGTGGGGTATTGAAATATCCTACTATAATTATGTTGCTCTCTATGTGTTTCTTTTATTCTGTTAATATTTGCTTTATGTGTTTGAAACCATAATGTGAGATACACACACACACACACACACACACACACCAACATACACTTGTATATACAAATTTGTCATAGGTTCCTGGTAAATGAATCTATTATTGTTTAATATTTCTCTTTGGAGTTTTGACTTAAAGTACATTTTATAAAATATGACAGTTTTTGACTTAAGATGTAGCTTGTGTAATTTTTTGGACATCTTTTCTCATTTTGTTAATATTTGTGTAGAATATATACATCCATCATGCCACTTTCAGTCTTGTTTTATAATTAGGTCTCAGCTGACTCTTGTAGAAAATCAAGTTGGATCTTGGTTTTCAAAAATTTTTAATCCCATTATTGAATGTATGTCTTTATTTATTTATTTATTTTTTTGGGAAATGGAGTTTTGCTCTTGTTGCCCAGGCTAAAGTGCTGTGGTATGATCTTGGCTCACTGCAACCTCTGCCTCTGAGGTTCAAGCAATTCTCCTGTCTTAGCCTTCTGAGTAGCTGGGATTACAGGCACCCGCCACCACGCCCAGCTAATTTTTGTATTTTCAGTTGAATCGGGTTTTACCATGTTGGCCAGGCTGGTCTTGAACTCCTGACTTCAGTTGATCCACCTGCCTCAGCTCCCAAAGTGCTGGGATTAAAGGTGTGAGCCACCATGCCTGGCCAAATGTTTGTCTCTTGATTTAATATATAGATATTTAAATAAGGTTAATTATATGTATATTTAAATAATCTTCTGAAACAGAAAGACTTGGTAACCTTATTGTTTAATTTGATTGTTGTGTCCTTGTCCCTTGTTTTCTCTCTTTCCTTCTTCCTTTGTGTCTTTTGATTTTTGTATTTATATGCTTTTATTTCTTTCTTACTTGGTTTTGTGTATCTACACAGATATATTCTTTGTGGTTCCTTGGGGATTACATAAAACCTCTACAAGATAAAACAGTATATTATAATCTAGTAAAAAATCAACTTTATTTGCATATGAAAATTCTTATTCGTTACATCTGCCCTCAACTTTGTCATTGATGTTGTTAATTATATCTTTATATGTTGTATATTCATTAGCAGGTGTTTATAATAATTTCTGTGCTTTTTATCTTTCACATTTTAGAGAATAATTAAAAATGCTTTATGCACCATTATGATAATGCTGTGAAATTCTGTTTTTGTGTATGTGCATATCTTTCCCAGAAAGTTATTTATTTATTTTTTTTAGATGGAGTCTTACTCTGTCGCCAGGCTAGAGTGCAGTGGTGTGATCTTGGCCCACTGCAACCTCTGTTTCCCGGGTTCAAGTGATTCTCCAGCTTCAGCCTCCTGAGTAGCTGGGATTACAGGCATGCACCATCACACCCAGCTAATTTTTGTATTTTTAGTAGAGACAGTGTTTCACCATGTTTGCCAGGATGGTCTCTATCTCTTGGCCTTGTGATCTGCTCTCCTCAGCCTCCCAAAGTGCTGGGATTACAGGCATGAGCCACTGTACCTGGCCAAAAGTCATGTATTTTCATGATTATGTGCCGTTTTCTTGTATCATGTTATTTTCAGTGGAAGGAACTCCTTTCAGCATCTTCGATATGTAGGGCATAGGCAGCACCAAAACACATTTTCAGAATTTTGTTATTTATTTATTTATTTTGAGATGGAGTTTCACTCTTGTTGCCCAGGCTAGAGTGTAGTGGTGTGACCTCGGCTCACTGCAACCTCCACCTCCTGGGTTCAAGCGATTCTTCTGTCTCTTCCCAAGTAACTGGGATTACAGGAGTGTACCACCATGCCTCACTAATTATTTTTTATATTTTTAATACAGATGAGGTTTTACCATGTTGATCAGGCTGATCTCGAACTCCTGACCGCAAGTGATCCACTCACCTTGGTCTCCCAATGTGCTGGGATTACAGACATGAGTCATCACACCTAGCCGAATTTTGTTATTTTGGAAGGCGTTTTTCTTTTATTTGGCAGGACAGTTGTTGGTATTCTCACTTGACAGCTATTGTTTTCAGCACTTTGACTGTATCACACTTCCCTTCTGGCCTGATTCACTGGCTATCTTATAAGACTATTATTATAAATGACATATCACTTTCATTTTGCAGTTCCCAAGATTCTCTTGTCTGTTACTTTTGAAATTTTGCTTATATATGTTTTATATACGTCTTTGTGTGTATTCTAGTTTGTTTGTTGTCTTTATTTTTACATTAATTTTTCTTTGATATTTTTGGGTTTTTTGTATTTTTACCTCCACAATTTGTTTTTTGCTATTTTTAATAGTTTTGTTGGTATTCTCATTTTTCTGATTTTCCATAGTTTGTATTCCTATTCACTCATGGAGTATTATTCAATTTATTTTAAATTTTAAAAATTAATTTGTATATTTTTAGTTTTTAATGGTTGCTTTCTGAAAATTGTATAATTTTTGCGGGGCTGTATTGCCCTAATTTTTTTTGTACATTGTAATCTCTAATTGAAATTTGTAAATTAAAAACAAGTTGTTTGTCACAATCTTTTATAATGTAGCTTTGTCCTGGCATAGTTAGAAACCATTTGTCTCGAATAGTGATTCTGAGAGTCTTTCAGACATGTTCTTAGGATGTGTCTTGTCTGAAATTTTCTAGCTTTTTTTTTTTTTTTTCAGTTAAAAGAGTTTGTTCGTGTTTCTTCTTGATAGTCAGTAATCACTTGCTACAACTGTTACCTGTCTGTAGTACTGCAGTCTCTTCACTGCTGTAACATTTACCTTTGATCTCAGCAGACTCAAAATGTCATTTCAAAGTATACCACCATTTCTTTCAGCCTTCTATGTCATGGGAGACAGAAACCAATGTCTGCAAAGGCATGTAGAAGCCAGAAATGAAGATGTGTATGTTTGTTATTATTTTTCTTTTCTTTAAAAAAGAAAAACTGGGAGTAGGCAATTTACTTCTAAAGGCACTGTGTTATATTGGGGAACAGAAAGAACTTTGTTGGTAAATAAAACAGACTTGTGTCTTCTCTGTGGCTCTTTGCATTGTGCTCACCTGGGGCACTGCACACCGAACTCATGTATACATTTTCCACAAATGTATTTTGGTCATTATGTTTTTGTTACATTTATGTGTCTATGAAGAAATTAGAGCCTGTGGTATTTTACTATGCAATCTTGCTTATGTAGTTTGTACAATTTTATAGATTAGATTTGTAAAGTATATTTATCTGAGTCTAGCAAGTGGAGTAATTTCTTATTTTGATTTCTTTCAGTAATGTCTTTTCATTTTGCCCAAGACCTTTGGCCAGAGCAGAACATAAAAGATTCTTTCCAAAAAGTGACACTGAGAAGATATGGAAGATGTGAATATGAGAATTTACAGTTAAGAAAAGGCTATAAACATGTGGATGAGTGTATGGGGCACAAAGGAGGTCATAGTACAGTTAAACAATGTTTGACAGCTACCCCAAGCAAAATATTCCAATGTAATAAATATATGAAAGTCTTTGATAAATTTTCAAATTCAAATAGATATAAGAGAAGACATACAGGAAACAAGCACTTCAAATGTAAAGAATGTGGCAAATTATTTTGCATTCTTTCACAACTAACTCAGCATAGAAGAATTCATACCAGAGTGAATTCCTACAAATGTGAAGAATGTGGAAAAGCCTTTAACTGGTTCTCAACTCTTACTAAACATAAGAGAATTCATACTGGAGAAAAACCCTACATATATGAAGAATGTGGCAAAGCCTTTAACCAGTCCTCACAACTTACTAGGCATAAGATAATTCATACTGAAGAGAAACCCAGCAAATATGAAGAATGTGGCAAGGCCTTTGAACAGGCCTCACACCTTACTATACATAAAATAATTAATACTGGAGAAAAACCTTACAAATGTGAAGAATGTGACAAAGTCTTTAGCCAGTCCTCACACCTTACCACACAAAAGATACTTCACACTGGCGAGAACCTCTATAAATGTGAAGAATGTGGAAAAGCTTTTAACCTATTCTCAAATCTTACTAACCATAAGAGAATTCATGCTGGGGAGAAACCCTTCAAATGTAAAGAATGTGGCAGAGGGTTTAACATATCCTCAAACCTTAATAAACAGGAGAAAATTCATACTGGAGAGAAACCCGACAAATGTGAAGAATGTGACAAAGCTTTTAACCAGTCCTTAAAACTTACTGCACATAAGAAAATTCTAATGGAAGGGAAACCCTACAAATGTGAAGAATGTGGGAAAGTCTTTAACCAGTTCTCAACTCTTACTAGACATAAGATAATTCATACTGGAGAGAAACCTTACAAATGTAAAGAATGTGGCAAAGCTTTTAACCAATCTTCAAACCTTACTGAACATAAGAAAATTCATACTGCAGAGAAATCCTATAAATGTGAAGAATGTGGCAAAGCTTTTAACCAACACTCAAACCTAATTAACCATAGGAAAATTTATACTGGAGAGAAACCATACAAATGTGAAGAATGTGGAAAAGCTTTTAATCGATCCTCAACCCTTACTAGACATAAGAAAATTCATACTGGAGA